TTCATGACAAACACGAGGGAAATTACGGTAGTCATGTAATTTGGTAGAATATTTTACTCTGCGAGAAAGGGTAATAAATAACAATTACCAATTTCTCAATTTTCTTCCCTATTATTGTGCGTTCAGTTCAAAGAAAACAAATCTGAATAATTTAATTGTCTGCTTGATTCCTAATTGCATTATTGATAAAATTAATTGAAAGTTAAACAAGTATGATAAACTATCGAAGTCTTCAAGATTATTTTCCATTGCGTTAAATCTGTTTGTGTTTATATTGATTTCAGTCTTAGTGTACTAATATATGTGAATTGCTACGATACGGTTAAATAATTACGCGCTCTTACGCATTTTCTTCAACTTTTGATTTTGAGTTGCAGTTATCTTCGAATCTCTCATTCGCATCAATTCTCGCTTGTGACGAAACAAATCAGTCGTACCAACAAAGGAGAGACACGAGCTTCCGAGAGACGTGGAGACACCGATCTCGACTGGACCGTGCTCGGTTCACAATTCCTCACGACAGTGACAGATGGTGACCGGTTGTTGTTATCCATGGCTGCTCGTGGCGATAAATGAGGCCAAGCCGCCGCTTTAGACGAGACGTGACTCCTCCGAGCTGGAGCTCTTGTCTTTATCATCTGACCCGCCGAATTTAAGATCGTAAAACTTACGATGTGAGAGGACACGGGGTTCACTTACCACTCGCGATAATCGTAAAGTAACGATTTTGTTGTTTGTAATACGCTGGCCGCTTGCAAATGCCTCCTTATTGAGATAAAGACCGGTCTATTTGCATAAGAGTTAGAGATCTTAAAGAACGCGGGTTACATCAGCTTTCGTATGTTTTATATATCTTTTATACGCGAAGGTATTGCTCGGAAACTATCGCTACACGCGAATGGTTGCTCGCGCAGAAATTACCGCGCGTAAATTTATACACTATTATGTTACATGCATACGAGATATGAACAGACGTAACAAGCTAGCAAAATATATTGTCGGTCTGACATTCCGCATAGTAACGTATGAGTTTCGTGGACATCGTTTCGTTCCCACGTTTCGGTCAAATCGCACAGCTGCGCCATGCAACCCCTTTTATTTTTCGCTCATTGGGGGTCTCGATATGTCGCGGGATAAGATACGAATCTCTCGGGAATTGGTCCAAAATCAGAGCAAATAATATATTACACCCTTTCGAGGTAGGTGTTGGTAGGAAATACAAAACATGTCCGTGTCAGATAAAATATAACACCAATTATAAACATTAGATATAAATCAAATTAGTATTCTGTTGAATAGGCATTATTTTAATACACTGATTTGTTATAATAATTTGCTCAATAATAATATAACTGTGTACCGTTTTATGCCTTTGACATAATAATAACGTGCATGTTGCAATTTTTCCTTTTTTTAAGCCTAGAATGAATAGTCTTAGCGTAGAATTCTGATAAAGTAAATGTTTTTCTGTGGAAAAACATTACACATTTAATATCTTGTTTTAAAGAAATAATCTTTCTTTAGGAAAGATGTGCATTTTCGTTTATTTAATTCAAGATTATATCGAGATAATATCACACTTGTATAAAAAAACCAAATAGAATAGTTCATAGAACTTTATGTACTCAGAAATAATTCTCTGCGAGATAGGCAATCTCTTCCTAGGTACCTTTTATTTATCCAGATAATAGAGAGAGGTTGTGGTCCCTTTTGTTTGCGTCTCCGGTGGAACGATAAATCCACACCCACGCGGTGTAAAGTGAGCTGGATGCTGCCACTGAAAGTTGCCGGAATCGGGCGCAGCTGATCTGAATATAAATCTGGATTAATTTAAAAGATCCATTCAATCGCAATATTGATGTTCGCGCATTTGCATTTGCACGCATTTCAACGTCATACTAAAAAGAATATTCATTTGGGATTTGTTATCTTTTGTTTTAAATCATTCAAGTAATATTTTCAAAATTCTGATCACTATATCAAAATATCTACTCTCCAAAATACATCGCGGATCGTTTTTACTTAAAAAGTTCGATTAATTAGATTCTATTTTCCTCGTCTTTTTAATTTACTCTCTAGTAGCCGATTAAATGTGTTTCTCGAATTTACGTGACGCTGATAGAGCAGATGTGCGGGACTCTCGCTCGAAAACAATGGTATCGATTGATGATGCGACAAGGATGTGATGGGGAGACGATTTCCATAGAAAGGGGATCACACCCCGTAGAAAGTGATCGTGTGGCGTTTGCTTTCGCGGCGCGGTAAAGTTTGCTCGACGTGGACCTCATTGGACTCTGATGAACCTCCCCGAGATCGCGGAGAGTCATCGAGTCGCTCGTAAAGTCGCCGCACGCCAATACCTTATTCCTCCCTTCTTATCTTTCTTAGTCCTTTTCTTCTCTCCTTTTTCTTCTCTTCGTCTGTTCTTTTTCCATCGGTCCTTGTATTCCTTTCTCTACTCGATACCATCTACGAACTCTCGCGCGCGGCAACCCTTTCTCGTACTCTTCATATTTTACTATTACCATATCAGGTTCTTCTCGGTTCTCCTCTCCTTACCGCACTCTATTCGATCTCTTATTAAATATACTTGCTTTATACACACGCGCGAGCACGCACATTCGATCATCACGCGGGATCACCGATCGGATCATTCCTGTGGGGCCGCGATTATCTTGACGACTTCGCGCGATTGCCTTCGTAATAGTTTTATTTTTTGTGAACTTGTCAATTGCTACCACGTACTTTGGTGAACTCGCTTTTTTTCTTACGAAATGATATAATTCGTTTGGTATTCGTATCTGCCACGTGATTTGCAAATAATAACTGTTTCTGAGGGTGGATATGACACACTATTGTAATACAAACAATTCTATGAATATATGAATAATTCTTAAGAGATATGAAGGAAGCGCGTTGACATTATAAACACGAAAGAAACCAGTTTTGCGAGTGTATGCAATCATTTTTAATTAGATCCGATGTGATACGATTCAGGGTTGTAATGCTGAAACGAGTCGAGATCTCTTCAAGCCGATTCTCATTCGTGAAACAAGTTTCTAGTCAGGTTTCTTCCGCTTTCCGAATATACAAAGAGACGTCATTTGTCTTTCTGATTTCATCTTGACAACTTTTTATTTTCCTACGAATATCTTCATTGCTATTTCTATGAATAAGGATTGAAACCGGTATAATTTCGGAGAGGGGGAAGAGAGTCCAATTTCCTGTATGTAATAAGAAAGGATCTTATATTAAATGACGCATTTTATTTATTCGCAAATAAAAATATATGATTTATATTATTGCATATATTTAAATATAAATCTAAACTTAACGAATTTCTTATATTGCCGATATCAATCTTTGTCTGAAAAGAATTAATTAAACTTAATTTACAAAATATCATATTATTTTTAATAACGTTATAAAATATTAACTTGTGTTTTATATGATTATATAATTATTATTATAAAATCTGCTTCTTCGTGAGTATACAATAAATTAAATTAAATTATTATAAAATATTTTTCACATTATAAAACATTGTTAACATTAATTTAATATTATTTTATTTATTGTATTTTATTGATCTATTTTTTCTCGATAGTGTAATTGTTCCGAAAACTTATATAAGTTTTTTAAGTCGCACAGATAGATAGATTTTCAAGATGTAGTTTGATCTTGATGACAAATGTAATGGTCGTAACTATATAACAATAAGAATAAATATTCATTCAGCCATCTGCAGGCACATATAGATTCAATTAAGAATCTATGTTGAAAATATGTACGCTTAACGTCACGTCGTTGGAAATCGAAGCTCGGCCGAAGGCAGACATCACATTACAATACGACTCGAATATTTTCATACATTTTCATGAACGCTTCGTTAACTGACCGGCTCCTGCGAGTTGCATTTCTATTGCAACGGAACCGTATTACTTTATTTGCACAACGACGTATATTATATGTACAGTCGAAGACTGTGGGATTGACATTAAAATTTAGTTTGGTCTCTTTTTAAAATATATGCATAAGACAATAATCCTAAATTAAAATTATAGCTACTTCTCTTTCTATTTTTTATTATCTTTCTATTTCTATATAATAACAATGATATAGAGTCATGGTGATATCTCACGTATGGTAATTTCTCAGTCGCCCTTGTACTCTCACCGAGCTTCTCTTGCATGAAAGCCGCGAATCGCGCATCGATACGGCCGTCCACACATTTGCACAGATGATATGTATGCGAGTGTGTGTATATGTGTGTGTGTGTGTATGTACATGTCTACCAGCGAATATGCACGGAACACGCATGGTGGTATGCACGCGTCGAACGCATGGGGAAAGGGTTCACCGTACTCACGTGGCGATGCGCGGAGGCATAGGGGGACGCGTTGTTTCTCCGGGAGGTCATCCCGGTGGAAGTCTCTTGACCTCTGACTTCGGCGCCTCCGTGTTCCCATAAACGTGATCACGGAGTTACTTTATACCCCGCCTCGGAGTGTGTACATCCCAAACCAAATTTTCGGCTGCATTCAGCTTCAGAATATGGCGGAACCATACGGCGGAAACATCACACTGCATTATCGAAACTGGGGGAGGGATTCAATGGCATCTTTCTCTACTACCGCAAAAATATAATTTCGAGATATACTCAGCTAAATAGAACAATAAAATTTATATTACGAATAAGATATTCGAAATTATAAAACTTGCTTTTTACGCGTAAATATGCAATATTCGAGGAGTTAAGTTCACTCGTCATTTTAAATTAATATTATCGATAAAACAGTTATATTTTCATTTATTAATAGAAATTAAATTTTAATTGTCTAAATATTTCTCAATATTTAAATATCTATGAGGTTGCTGGCCTTAATTATTCGAGTAAAATTTAGACATGTCAAATCGAGACACGCGTGATCGCTTCATGCAGAGAACCTCAATGACGGAAGTACGATAATGCTCCAATGAGAAGATAACTCTAAGACGAAATGACGGAAGATGATCACGAGAAGGAGAGGGATGGGGAGGAAAAGGGGGAGAACGGTCCAGGAACGGGTATGGGTAAAGGAGAGGACACCGGTACACCTGCGGCCATAAACTTGTCGAAGTGGCATGGCATAGCGTAATGGCAGGAGAGCGTTGCCTTGCCTTTCGCGCCTTGCCCTTGATTGCGACGATAAAACCTTCCCCTTTCCGCCGTCGCTCCGCCTCGCCGCTCCAGCCCTCTTCTTCCGTTGCACCCCTTCCGACACCCTGCGGCTCTCGTGCGGACACCGTGGCGCGCTACGCGATTTTACGCACGCAACATGCACACACGCGCGCACGCGTGCACGACACACAAGCACTGCGGTGCAGCATTCTATCGCGCGTCGGTGCTCGTAAACTCAAGCTCGGCCGGAATTCTTCGTGGAAGCGATAACCGAGGCGTATAAATTTAAGATCGCTTTGTTCACGAGTCCACCGTTGATCGACTAACAGTAAAGGAGGACCGACACAGCCTTCGATTAAACTAACTCTGCCTGGCGACTTCTCTGCTCTTCGCGCCGGATCAAGGCTGCCGGAATGATGAAATCTCTACGAGTCGACATTGGTATAAATTTGGATAAAATTAAAATTTAATAATATCACAGCTATACGAAAATTTTTATATATGTATTTTTGTGTGTGTGTGTGTGTGTGTGTGTGTGTGTGTGTGTGTGTGTGTGTGTGTGTGTGTGTGTGTGTGTGTGTGTGTGTGTGATATAAAACGTGATAATTGTAAAAAAAAACTGATATTTACTGTAGATTACAAATTGAATCTTGAAATGACATTTTCCAATTTCTCTCCGTTTAATATGAATGAAAGGATCTCTCTTTCCTTCTGTCGACATAGTTCTAACGCCAACGTAACGATAGAAACGATTATGATAATCGCGATTGTTGCCGGTGCGCTTAAGCAACGTTAAAATTATCCAACGATTGCGTTCTCCTCGTGCACTTTAATTACACCCTACGATACAAATAGAAATGCGGACGCGTCCTGTTCGTACAATGTAGGCTTTTATAACTTCTTGATCGAGAGAATTCAACCCTCGCAAGACATTATGGAATATTTACGCGAGATCTTAGCCACCGGTATTGCTCTTAATTAACGGATGCCTCTCCCGTTTCGAAGAAAGATCGTGGAGAAATCGCCGCGGAAATGATCGTGCCGCTTTATCGCGGCCTTCCGACCGCATTAATCATAAAAAGGTCATAAAGCTTGCGGCAAAATGGGAGAGCGCTTTTCTACATCCGGCCAGATCTCCGTATTCGTTATTCGGCGAAAACCGTAGAACGTAAGAAATATGTGGACGTAACTTCAGAAGAACGAATGTAAGAACGAAAAAAGGATACAGCCAATTATAGAAAAGACAAAACAATCTTTTAATTATTGCAACGTTATTTCATTTATCGTATTTTATCGTTTATGTAACGCATAATTAAAAAAATGAAATATAAATTGAATATCTTTTTTTTTTAAAAATCTAGACTGAACGTAAAAATCATTACGGAAGATTTAAAGTTTTGTAAGTTAAATTAGTCGATAAATAATTATTTATTAGGAAATAATAATAATAATAATAATAATAGTTTCATTATTTAATAATTATTCATTGACATATGTCACGAAATTTTGTTTATCAATTTGTATATTATACAATTTATTTTTTTCATTTCTTTTCTTTTTATAATTTATTGTACTCTAGTTCTCGTCGTCCTTTTTCAAATACTCTCATATGGCAAATATGTTTAGGATGCTATTAAAGCAGTGTATCGTGCGCAGAGCAATCTGGCTCCTCTTCCATCGCAAGATCACTCTCGAAAGAGGATTACTCGTGACTTCCTCCTTCCCCAGACGGGCGTACTTCGCTCGTCTTTCCTTTCGTGTCTATCGGCCTCGTCATCGCGGAATGCGATTATTATTTCCTTCTTACGACAACGGCGTCATTTCGCGTGGAGTGGAGCACCTCAAGAACGTGGAATCACGCGGTGCAAAAATTCACAAACAAAAACGCCGGCGCGTAAATTGATCTTAACGGCCGAATCTCCCAGCTGCGTAATCGGCCGCTGCATTGCCTTTAAGAGAACGAATGAATGAAGCGGCCGATATAATTTTTCAACGAAAAAGAAGATTATTTGTTACGAATTATTATTATGTACAGTTTTATAAGAATTGTTGAATTTTTGTGAGATTATTATCGTTGCACACAACGACTAACTTAACGTCGATTTAGCTTATCTATAGTACACGTACCTTTTAAGTCTCAGTTTTTAATTATATTGGGAATAAAAGATACAATGCTAGATATATATAATATATATGTTCAACTTTCTTTACAAGCTTTCGTTTTGCGAAAATCTATACCTCGCGTGATTGCCAACGATGCTAAAATCGCGAGCCTAGATATAATTATAACGGTAGATCAAATTTCTCTATGTCCTTCTATGGTATGAAATGAGATTCTATTGGAGCTCTTAACGGCTTAACTTCTATTCTGCATACTACCGCCGGCGTGTACGTACTTACAAAACACGATCCAACGTAATGCCTCGTCTCTTTTTCGCGTAATTTCATTATTTTGCGATGCACAAGATAGGGGTCGTTAGCTAGACCGGTTAGGAGTATGAACGAGCAAACGCGGTGTACCGGGAAGGAAGAAGAGGAACCCGATCCTTCGGCATATACACACATAAGGAGGAGGATGAAGTAGGAAGTCACAAAGATTACAGCGGAACATGTGCACGAGCGCATCTCGAACGATCCGGCATTTCGATATCGTCCTCTGAACGTGACCGCGCGCTACGAGTCCCCCCTAATCTAACATACGTCCGTGACGTAGTTCCTGCTCCGGAAGAAACCATTGGTAGCCGATAATTAAATCGGGATATTGATATTTGTTGTCGCGTCTATCTTATAGATAGACGTTGAAAATTAAAGTTTGCGTGTATTTCAGTTTTTAGAATAATAGTGTGAGTCACGCAAGTAAAAACGATATCCATTTTCAAAAATAGCTTTTACGCACGATTGCTTTTAAATATTTTTATTAGATCTCGTTCTTTTTAGAATTATGATAAGATACAATACGAGATAAATAACAAAGTTAAGTTTTTTTATCACGAATTCTTTTGTTTTTTTTTTTAAATAAGCAGCTTGTTTGTCTTATCAACTTGTACATAATTTTCTCTAATGAATATTCGTGCACATAAATTCCATTTATTCCCAGAAAGTAATAATTATGGCAATAGTAGTTGCTAAAAGATTCGAATTTTACAACTAAATAACAACAATTTCGTATGTTATATTTATTGTACGTTATAATCGAGTGATTTCTGATGATAAATGCGATATGATGAATGATTTGGCGCTGTTTGTGGGTGCATCTCTAGTGCTCTTCCGTGTTACAAGCTTCTCTCGAAAGAGAAATCTCGTATAAATAATCCCACGGCGTTATCATGCAGTCTCGGGAACCGAGAGAATTTCCTGGGAATTTGTAAAATCGCCGCCAGGCAACAGAATCAAACGTCAGCTTAAATTAATCACCATTTAAAGATAAGTAGGTATCATCTGTAACTCCACGAATAATTTTGAAATGTTTATATATTTTGAAACATATATTAATATATTAATTATTTCTTTACGACAAACATTAAATTGAAATACTTTAAAGTTTTCGAAAAAATTTCCTCTATCTCGTATAAAAAATTGTAGAAACAACTAAAAATAATTTTGACAGTAAGATATCAGATATACAACAAGCTTTTTAGTAGTAAATGTCTTTTTTCTTTTTTAATTTTTATAAAATAACAGTTATACTATTTTAACATCTTACGACTGATACGACTGATGTCATGATATATGATAATTGCGCTTCGATGCGCATTCATCGCGACAGTCAATCGCAAAACCGGCTACACTCGCCAAAGCATGGTAGAATCGCTTCTATCCCGCAGCTTCCTCCTAATTATCATTCGCGTATAAACGGCAGGTGTCCGCAACGGTTAAGCAACGGTTTTCGCTTTGTACATTTCATGAGCGATTTATCGCGCGCTCGTGTACGTTTGACGCGATTAAATAGAAGTCGCGCGCGTCTTGCGCTCGCGAGAACGTTGATCGTCGTTGACCCGTTCGTTCTGTCGAGCAAGCTGAAGACTAGATCGCGGTGATCGATAATTTCCTATTACACTCAGAAGTCACCGAGTCTGATCGACGTGGCCGTTGAGCGATCGGTCTCGATCGTTTCTCGTTAAAAGTAAGCGCGAAGCTTAAAACCAGCAGCGTGTAATCACTAATTACCCGATGTGTTCTGAGATAACTTATACGGGCAACCGGTAAGAAGACGTTTCTCACAATCAGAAACTTGATGCATGAGAGAGAATTATTTGACACGGTTGCTAATTGGCAGGGTATGAAAAATATTACGACGGTAATAACAGAAAAAAAATTCAAGTTGGAACAATTGCGCTTCGCTGAAGAGACGATATGATTTCTTCAACTTCGCGCAACGCGTCTTCTGACGGATTGTTGTTCCCAGAATGATTAACAGGAAGCTTCTATTGCGGTACGTGAAAGTTTCACATCTTGCAAAAATTAAGATCATGTCAGATGTGGCCGTAATTAATCAACTTTTTCTTCGCGCAAAATAGCATTCAGTCTTGATTATTTAATGACAAAATAAAGAGATCATTGTAGTCTTTTTTGTTTTTTTTTGTTTTTTTTTTACTAATTTTTATTTTGATTTAAGAAAATGTAAGAAAAAGATCCCTTGAACATGTCAGCGATTAATTTCTTGCTTTACTTTCAACTTACGCAACGGAAAGGTGTAGCTGTTAAATGTGCTATTAAAAGCAAAGCGATAGTTAGAAAATTAATATAATGTTTTCTTTATGATTAATCGAGTTTAAAGATTGATTACAATAGAGAGAAAGAGAGAGAGAG